ATTTGGTTATGAACAATAATTTGATTTCTATTAAAGCACAAATTAAGTTAATTGATTTTAATATATAGAAAAGGAGGTAAAATTGGAGATATATGGGCAGCGAATCTAAAAGAAGGCTGTAACGCTATGAAACCTTGGCTAGCGAAACTCTCCGGTTTGACAGAGGTAGAATACGATTCAGTACTTCAATATATTTTCGATCATGAAATTGAAGAGTATAATGTATATCATAATCATCACAAAGTATGGGTACAAAAAATTTAGCTATTGTACTATTACAATTTTCATTATGATATGATAACGATATAACTGGTTAATTGGCCAGAAAGCGATTGATGCTATCAATTAGCTATGAATGGAAGTGCGTCGGTCGCAATTCTTTTTGGTTTTAGCTCGTAATAACTAAATTTATTTGATTTCAACAAGATACAAATGTTAAGTAATTTTCTTGTAGAATGGTAAAAGATTATTATATCTTAGAATTTTAAATGTAGTCAATCTCTTTATAAGTACATTTGTTTTATTTCTAATTAATATATATATATGAATTTGAATAGGAAAATAATAATTAATTTATAAGAACAAATTTTTTTGATTATCTACTGTGCTCTTATTATAGAGATCGGTTGTGTATGCTTTCTTATTTTATTTAAAATATAAAGAATAATAAAAAGAATTTTATAACTTTTATTTGATCGATTTTGTTAATAATAGCATACATAATATTGAAAAAAATGATTATAAATTTGTATTGTAAAAATTTTCATATTGATTTTAAGCTTAGAAAAAGTTTTAATTTTTTAATTAAATAAAAATAAAAGAATATTTTCATTACTATAATAAATTATTGATATCTTAAATTTGGAATTTTCTTTATATAAATTTTATTGATAAATATTTATTTATTTATTTATTTATTTTAAAATAGTTTATAGTTTATATATATTTTTTAATTTCTCAAAGAATTACTTAATTATCTAATTAAATTGTTTTAATTAAAAAGATTAAAAGAAATTTATAATTCTTTCAGAAAAAATCAATTTGGTAAAATATATATATAGTGATATTTATAACTAATTCAATGCTTGAATTTTTTATGAATTATAGTTAGTAAAATACATATTTTTTCTCACATATAAAATTTTTTAATTTTACTAACAAATACACTACCTGGACAAAAGTATCGCACATCCAAAATTTATTAATTACATAAAATTGTACATAATAATTGCATCTCAAATTTTAACATTTTATACTTTAACTAATGAATTAACTATATAAATCAATATTTAGTAGACCAGCTATTACTTGTAATAACTGATTCTATTCTCTGTG